CCCACAGTATTGCCTGTAGAATTTATTTCTATGATTACTAATTAAACATTTAAGTCTTCACAGATTATCAAGATAAAGGGTATGGATTCACTGTTTTGAAAGAAACTTTCATAAGGAAAGTAAAGTATAGGTATGAAAACATTATTAGTATACCTACTGATTTGTTGTTTGTTTGTGTGTTTAAAAAGGCCATGAGAAAAACTACAATGATTTACACCTCTTACAATGATATATTCATCCAGACAGCTAAATGGAAGAAAGCTGTACTCTTCAGATTGTCTCTTGATCCAATACAGTGGGTCAGAAAAACAATTACAGTAGTATGAATGAAAAGGATACACTTTGTTTAGCCTACTTACCTAAGGAAACCAGGCTTCTGAGATCACACTGACCACCCCAACACCCCTTGAATAGAGCTGAAGCTTTCACTTTCAACCAAATTTGACAGAGAAAAATAAAAAAATTAATAAATTTCAGTCTCTATCAGTGTCATGGAAACAGATGGTTAAGGCTGTAAAGAAACATCCTGTTTAAGCTCCCACTAAATAAAAGGCTATTAAATTCACTAAACCCCAAATTTAATGACTTCTGTTCTTACATAACCCAAAAGTACACTACTGAACACCTCACTTATGGCTCACATATAATTAACATGTTATACACCTAAACAGCTGCAAACTATATAGGATACAATGCAGAAAAGGGAACCCCTACACTTTTTAGAAGGTCAAAGTCCCGCGAGTTTCAGGCAGGACTCTTTGTACCAGGCTTAAAACAGAACGAAAGGAACAAGACAAAATGGATAAGCAACATTAAATTTTTCATGAAGTTTATCTCAAAGTGAATAGGGTAACTCCCAGTTAGAGCTAATGTCTTATCGCTTGTAGACAAAGCAGCATTTTGGAAATTTCAACTACACATTGAACAGGTGCTACAGGAAACAATGATGCTGAAGCCTATACAGAGACTGTCAAATAAAAGCACAAGAAAGCCCTCCAAAATGCTGAAGACCTTAACAAGAAACACAAGTTCCTCATCTTTGCACTCATTAATAAGTATTCACTATAGTCAATTTGAATTACTGTTGAGAGTTTCAGGGGTGAAATAGGGGTTAATGAGGCTAAAAGAAACACATGAACAGAGATAACTGTACAATTCTCAAAAAATAAAGCAAGGAGTATGCAAGAAGCTGATTTCACATAAAATCAGTGGCAAATGGAGAAAAGCCTCTATTTTGCCTAAAACTAAAACACTGCTTCACAATCAGGTCTGACTGGGGCTTCTCAAGGTACACTATTTCCACATGTGTTATCATAATGTGACACACATCCTTTGCTCATTACTGTTAATTACAATGAAAACCTCCTATAATGAACTGTAAAAGAATGTATCAATGAAACTGAGATAAACTGACCTTTCCCCACACACCCATATTTATAAAGCAGTGATTTTTTTTACACTGACAGTTCTGTAAAATAATTTTTGAGTAGAATAATCAAGATTATGATGCTTCTTGTGTTCTTGTGAAATCATTCAAATAATGATTCCATGAGCTATTCCTTCAGTTGCCACCAACAAGAGGTGCTCTGAATTCAACCTATTACAAAAGCAAACCATCTCGCTACGGTATTCAAAGTAGACATTAAATTTATGTGCTGCATTATTAAAAATAATTTTCATTCCCACTAGCAGCAATGTAACCCTCTTCCCACTTCTCTGCCTAAGAGGCCCTAATCCCTTCTTTGTGGCATCACTCACCCTCAGCAAGCGTGACGCACCAGCCCAGAAGGCTGCTCAGGACAAATTTTGCATATCTGATCAACCAACAATTTCGGTTGTTACCCACCAATTTGAACAGAAGTCTTTTCCCTGTCAGTTTTGCCCACCCACAGCCAAGCGTCACCGGGTTCCACTGAAGTCCCAGATACCGCAATGTCTTTGCAGGGACCAGCAGGCTGCTGTTGGTAAACACTTTTTTTCAGATTTTAAAGTGGCAATCACTGAGAACTTCACAGAAAGCAAGCCAGTGAAAGCTCTACTTACCATTAAGTTCTCCCTCCATGGCACCCTTTCTAGGTCTCCTCTGAACTATGAATGAACCCACACTCCTTCCCAAAAGCCTCTTCTTTTGATCTCAGTAAAAGCAGGTAAGAGTGATTAACACATTTGTATAATACTAATGTATCTGGGAGCAAACATCTGCCTATCTGAAATAACTGTGTAGAGTCAATAATTTTTTATTCCAAATAAAAATGATGGATATGAAGATCACTGCAAAATGGACAGTACTTTGCAACACAACTTATACTTTCTTTCTATTCATCATTACATTTTGCTACATTTTCTCTCTCACTCATCTCCTTGGGATAAAAAAATATTCCAAGCCATTGTCTCCTAATCTTTCAAGCTTTAAAGTCAAACTCCAAAGGAATGATTACAACCACTACTTTCTTAATCTGTAAGCCACTGTAACCCAAATGCAAAAATACACACCATGAAAACATACTATGGCAAATCAGGCCCTCATACTGCACTGCTTGTCCTCTTCCTAAAATGCTGCAGGTTGCCTGCTTACCCTCCAAAACAAGCAGGATGAAGATGAGCTACATGCCACACACTGTTCATGCTGTTCTGCAGGCTCCAAAATGGGATTAGCACAGAAAATGCGAGAAGACCAGGAGGCATATTTCCATATTTAGCCATGTATGTTTTAATACTGAGTTAGATTTCACCTCAGTGCATTATTCCATTAATCAAGGGCGGGTATAACAAGAGAGACATAGACTGACATCAGCTACTTTTAAAATTTCTCTTCCTCTTCCCCCCACCTCCAGCTTCTATGACACCATGCATTGTGCATTTCATGTGCATTCATGTGTGCAAAGAGCAGAGACTTATCTATAAAGATCAGTTATACGGTAAAACTGCAAAAGGAAACTTTCACCCTTGTCCAGCTGGTTGAATAACTGCAGAGGCCAACAGCAGCAAGCCTCTAAATACATCCTGTTCTTCTCCCTCCACCCCCATGTCTCTAATCACTTAGGAGGAAGATAGGAAGATTAGCAGAGAGGAAAAAAAATAACCAAAGCTGCAGATAACCCTTTAGGACCACAACGTCAGGCTATAAGAACATGGAGCAAAAGGTTAATGCAGCTGTATTTTCAGGAACCCCAAGCACAATTGTATTTAAAGGGGAGGGAGGGGTGCTGAGAATGTGAGACAGGGAGAGAAAAAAGGAAATGGTGATGAAGGCAAAAATGAATTTGTCATCTACAGCTAGCTCTTTGATCACCTGGAGTATCCAGGAAAGGATATCAGCAGAAATAGGGCAGTTTTATTAACAATACACCACAATTTTTCTTGTATTTTCATATTCATCATCAGCACAGATTTTAGTAAGAATACAGCTGCAGAAGACTTACTGAGCTATGCCAAGAATAAAGGTGGTACCTAAAACAGTGACAGAGAACTACCTTTAGCAGCTGATACACTGAAGAGATTTGAAAAAAAAATAAAATATAAATAAAAGTCACTTCCACTAGAAGACAATGTCATCTTCATCCATGTCTCTGAACGGTTGCTATGGGGTTGTGAAGAGGAGGGGAAGGATGGGGGGGAGGTTATAATCAATCATCTCAGAAGAGCATTGCTTCTTACAGAGAAAGATCTGGATTTTGACTGTGTCCCTAAGAAAATTGCGGACTGCAGAGCTGCTGCCACGCAGGGCAGTGAGGAAGCAGGCAGAGCAGAGGCAGCAGCTGGGGCTGGAAACGCCTATTAAATCCTTTAGACAACAGATGGGCAAAGCTCGGCTGGGTTATAAAAAAAAAAAAATACACCACAATGCATCATGTTTTATTGTCCCACCATAATGAACAACACTTAACACCCACATGCCCAAAGAAGCCCCCCTATGGCTGATCTTACCCCTTCCCTAAATAATAATCTCGAGTCTCAATCCACTTTTGGGGGGCTCCCAACCCAATGAATTTGCCAGATGCCATTGCTTATTGCACCTGTTACTTAAAAAAAAAAAAAAAAAAAAAGGAAGACATTTGGGCTTCATTTTAAGCATGTTTTTCTTCCAATTAGTGCTTCCCTGCCCTTGAAGTGAATATGCTATCCATGCAAGCAACAGTAAGTCCAGATCTTGAACGCATTCAGGGGATCTCATTATGTCATGTAGGGCAGAGGCACCTGCTCTCTGCTAATTCCCTCCACTCCGTTTCCTCTTTTTAATATTTCTTACCATTGTTCCATTCAGGAAAATCTGCTGGGGGCGAGTTTCATAAACAAGCTTTAAGAAAAATAATTAAATAACCTCCCTTCCCCCCCTCCCAATCCCTCCTACAAAAACACAGCATAACCAGAATGAATTCTGCTACCAATCCTCTATTTTTCTTTTATTTCAGACCCTACCCACAAAAACCACTAGCCCATCCATCCATGTTTGCTAAATACCCACAGCAGTCAGTGCCAGAGACATACTGTACGTATTTCCACCTCCCCCCCTCAACTGCACCTTAAGGACTACACCCTTTTCAATCATGATGTCATGAAATACTGCTGGTGACTCCCCCACTACCACCACCACCCCCTCCTCGGTACTACAGGCTGTGAACCTTTAATTTCAATATAATTTGATTAAAAAGAAAATGCTCCTAAGTAGGGCAGTGAAGAAATGGATGTGAAAATTCACCACCAGCAGATCATCTATTTTTTCCTCTGCATGCACTGTGCCTGTCATTAGAACAACACCCATTAGCAGGAGTAATGAACATAAAGCATCCTGGGCTTTTTCTTTTCTTTTTTAAAAAAAGAAAAAAGAAAGAATTAAAACGAAAACTAAAAATAAATAAAGACAAAAATCCCTTACGAATATTATCTGCACTAAAACAGCAAATGGGAAAACCTGAACCCTCAAATATCCCATCCCCGACACCTCGCTGGCTGCCACAGCACCTTCCCTCTAGCACCGGTGCTGCTGCAAAAGAACCAACCTGTTTGTCCTTTTCCTAGGGTTTTCTCCAAACGATAGGGTCCAACATATTGTGCATGTTGAGCTCCGCTGCCTTCTTTCCCTGTTGATGTCATTTCTACCTGGATCTGTAATTCTGCAATGTGTATGTGCTGATGAGCTGGAATTTCTCTCTCTGCAGCTCTTTAAATTCCCACTTTGCAGCTGTGCAAGCAAAGCACTCTTTTTCTCTGCTTTAGTCCCCTTGGTTGCAGATTTTCGTCTTCCTCCTCTTTCTTTCCTCTCTCACGTGCGTGTTCTCTCTCTGGGTCTGCTTGGGACGCTGAAAGACGAAGGAGTTATTTTAATGTTCAAAGAGGGGGATCTACGATCCAAGCCCAAGGAGCATGATGCTGGTGATCGGAGCTCCGCACGCCTTGTTCTCTCTGGGAGCTGTTCAAGGGAGAGCCAGAGCTAGAGCAGCGGAAGAGCCGGGGCCGCAGCTGAGACTGACATTAAAAGCAGCCAATCCCTCGTCTCCCACCTTCTTCTCCCCTCCTCCTTCCACTACCTTTTCTTTTCCATCAGCAGCAGTTGCTGCCTCTGCCTGCTACAGAGCATCAGGACCAATGGCAACAGCAAACACCTAAGTTCATCAGCCTATTGATAAGGCATAATTAAATATAATTTAATGTGTATATTATTTTAAGACCCAAACATCCACTTTTTTTTTTTTTAACTTCTGAATTCTTTTCCACTATGCAGCTGTAGTTGCAGATTGTTAAAGAAAAGGCGAGACTGTGGCAGGAAATAGGAAAGCAGGGAAAAAAACTACTTCTGAAAATAAGCTTGGGAAATTCATTGATTCTGTTTGATTCTGAAGGACCTATATCTCTTGGGGGTTTTACCCTTTATAGAGAACCTTGGGGGAAGGGGGGGGTGAAGACGAAAAAAAAAAGCTAAAAATAATAGGGCCTATCCAGTAACCAGTGAACTCAGTGACAGACCTGCTTTTGAATTTTATGGGAGCAAATAAACTTCGGGTCCTTAGATGAACAGATCAAAAATGGCACAGCCACTCTTCATTGGAAACACAACCAAAAATCCAGAGATTAGATGGCAATAAAACTGATTGCTAGATCCCCAGGCTCCATATTAGCAGCGTAAGAAAACTTTTGCTGTACTTGTCCAAGTGTTTATGCCTGTCTTTAACCTTCAGAGCTTAAGGAGCTGGATGAAAGAAAAGATTCTGCAGATTTGCTTCCAGTTCAGCACAAGCCTATGTATTTTCTGGATTCAGTACAGTTTCAGCCAGACTCCAGGGCTGTCAAGCTGAAACCATTACCATTACCAAGTGCCATTTTTACCTTCTCTTCCCTGTTCCACTGAAAACTCATCAAGATATTCCTATTCAAATTCCAGCTGAGCCACAGAGAGCGCAAGCATTCTTAAGTCAGAGAGGGAAGTCTTGACAAGCCTGTAAGAGAGAGAGTAAAGAGAGGGCAAAACTTGAACAAGCCTTATCTGTTGCTCACTGAGAGAAGACTATTTCAGGTTTATTTATTTGTTTTTTTGAAGACGGAAATTTACTTTGTTTTAATACTTATATCTACAGACAGCAGGTGCTCTTGTAATTTGGAATAAAACTAGAAATTGGCTCTTTACCTGTGCCACAGAAAACACAACTCTACTTACCAAGTTGCAGAGAAGTTAGTAAGATGAGGAGGCAGGAAGAAACCAGGCTAGTAGACTGAAACCTTAAACCAATTCCAAGGTATCCTTCTGTCTGCTCAGGAAACACAACGCCAACATTTGCTTTGAAAGGAAAAGCCCTGCTTTGCTCTTTATGGTTTACCTTTACTCACTTCCAGACTGTGTCACTGCAGCAACCTGCCAGCAAACTCCAGAACACCCCAAACCATCTCCATTCCTCAGCTTCTCCCTCCTTTCACCCTGTGTGACCAAGCACCAAGACTCCTTCCATGCTGAGGACTGCCTCTGTGATTTTCCAGTGGCACCCTCTGCCCCCTACAGCCCCTACAGATGTTTACTTCCCCCTTGCTACTAAACTCAACTCCAAATTGCCACTTCTCCAAGCTCCCTTCCCTGTATCTTTCATTAAGTGTTGTTCTTCCCCCACGTCACCACAAGCCCATCCTTGCTGTCCCACACATTCTCCCCTCAGAGCCCTGGTGTGTCACCTCATGCACCTGAGCCTGCAGGAAGTTGGGGAAAACAATGCCAGCAACCGGGATGGCACGTCCCCATGCCATGCTCCACTCCCCTCTGTCCTGCAGCCTCTGGGAAAGCCTCAGGACCAGAGGAGGGGACCAGAGAGGACGCAGCTGGCCCTGCTGGCAGCCACAATGATGTGGCAGCTTTTGCCACCCAAAGTGGCAAATCAGGGGCCAGAGGGCAAGGAGGAAGGCAATGTGAGCATCCCTGTGGAGAGGTGTAGGGTAGGGTAGTAGTACCAAAAGCTGAACAGGCAGCTGACAGGCCTATGAGACCTGCCCCATGGCCAAGGGATAAGGCATCACCTGCCCTTGGTATGAAACAAACCTGCCTCAGGTGCAGGAGTCGGCCCCTGCAGCACTGACAGACCTGTGGGCTCAAAAGCCCAACCACAAGGCCCAGACATGTCAGGATGGATTCAGCAGGACAATCTGATATGTCTTGTGACATGGTTGAAAAAAATGCCTCTGAAACTTGAGGCACCCATGCATGACTCAGAAGCCTTCCTTTCCCTATGGCTTCCGAGCCAGGATTGGGCTGCTCAAGCTGAGGAACCGTGGTGGGAGAAGTGCTCTCCCCACTGGGCTGTTGGCTACAGAAATCAAGTGCTGAGAGGAATCAAAATGTGTCATGGTTTCAGACCCTTCACTCCCCATAAATGTTTGACCACTCCCACTGTTAAAAGGCCCCTACACAGACAGCAAGGGACAGCACTTAAGCACAGGAATGTGAGCACAGCTTTTGGAAAAAGGAAAATATTGTTGATTTGTATAAATTAGCAAAGTATCCACACCACCATATTAAATAATGCAGGGAGTGAATATCAGCATAGATCAACATCTTTTTTAATTTCAAGATTTGTATTTTAAAAGGCATTTAAAAGGAGATTATGATGTCTGTATGTAGCTGAATCATATCTGGGTCATGATATTAATAGAAAGATGAACAATCAGACAATATTGTCCATCCAAGACCAAACTTGTGTACAAACTGTGAAGTTTGTTTCTGTTGGGCATTTCGGAAAATGAGTTACAGAGATGTTACAAATCCCCACCTTCTGTCACAAAATATGTGTGAATGTCACGGCTGGAATAAGGTTAGAAAACTTGGTGAAGTTCATATGATCCTGACTAGAAGATCAGTGAGATTAGAAAACAAAACAAAACAAAGAAACACAGACATGCATGCACAGAAACACTACCTCTCTCCTCTTCCCTCCCCCACCCCCCCAAACTCCCATATCTTTTTGGTCTCATTTAGTTATGTTATTTTGATTCCATAGGAATATTACTCTGTATGGCCTATTGCAACAATTTTGACCTTTTGTCCTAAACTGCTTTTGAGAAAGTGTTTGGACACTTCTTGATTCCTGAATAATCAAATGTTATTTATTTTATTTGTTCATATAGAGCCAAATCCCATTTATCTGTACCCCTTTGATCTGAAACTCAGTCCTTTGAATCTAGGTTATGTCCCCCTGGTGTGAATTACTTATACAATAACTCCCTCAATTATTTGAAGCCCTGTTTATCCAAATGTTTTGATGTTCCAAGAGTATTTTGAATAAACAGGACTCTGCTGTCATTGGATGTATCAGATATCTTTGGGGATGCATACAGGATGGTTTCCCCTGACCTTATTCTGTATTATCTTGTGTTTAATGAACAAGCAGTGTGAACTTAAGTGTATAGTTAGCATATTGACATAATCTTCAGTACTTTTACTTGTTTATCCATTAATTATTTTTCTTTCATTATTCTCATTTAAGAACTAAATTTCACTCAGGAAGGACTCAACACAGACCCCAGCAAAAATTTTGCTTGAGTATGGAGTGAATAAAAAAGTAATAATCTAGAATTTTGCTTAGTTTTATCATACTTCTGGAAAAAAAGCAGAGCAAATTATTTGCATTTTTCACCCATTCCCATTTTCACTAGCTTGTATCTAATGGAAGTCCTCATGTTCATTTGTTTTCTTAGATGCTTGCCATTGCCCTTCCTCTTATTCCCATGAAAATATTAAGAGTCACGATGGATCATGAAATGGTGTAAGAAGCTAGAGGAAAAAAACAGATCCATGAGAAAGTTTTTTTCAATATTTTTCACTTGTTCAGTTGAATTCTCTGTGGAATTAATAATGAAAAATTAACAAAGGAAATATAAGGCTTCCAAGAAAAGGCACTGATAAGCTTTTATAATTAGCATAGAATAAATGAGTTGACTTTTTGTGGTAAGAAGAATTCACATAAGCTAGGACTTTGTCTACAATTAGAATAACGTGATAGCTAATGCCAATGACAAGCACATATTAAAGATAAACAGGAGAAAAATATTCAGCATTTTCAATGTTAGGATCCATTATCACATCCTGAATTACATGTTCCATCCACATACCTATGGATACATGACACCCCTTTGATAAGTGGTACTGGGATTAAGATATTTTGGGAATTAACCTCCTTAATAAACTGAGCCAGATATTTGAGAGACATTTAGTCACCAATACTGTTGACAAACTGATAATACTTTTATTGAGGATAATTGTATCAATCTGCAGTATCTCCAAACAGATGCTAACAGTCTAAAATTGAGAATTTCTCCCTTTGTGTTAGATAGCTACCTTTTTCATAAGAAGCTGAGGTAGACCACAAGAAAAGAAAGGACTGGATTTTAGTAAGTGGGTGGTGTTTCAAATTCTTAGAACACCCTCAGAGTTCAGATACTTTTTCTACTATAGCAAGGGTTGAGGAACTTCTGCTAGTTAACCTTGCTTATTGGAAGACAGTGCTTCCATAAAGACTCTCACTTCAGCGGCTCCTAAACAGGTCCACATTGCTCAGCAGAGGTAAACTGTGGTAGCAGTTAGACAGATGTTTTGGAGATTTTACTGTTGTTGTTGCTATTATTATTGTTAATAATAATTTTGCTATTATTATTAGGATTCCTGGTATTCTACATATTCTAGTAACTAATTTTAAGGTTCACCTAGAAAAATGAACTGTTAGCTTATTATCTACATATCATCTTTGTTTAAAGCTAGATTAAGGTAAAGGCTTGTAAAATATTTAATAACAAAATAGATAACTGCTTTCACAGTATCATTTTCTCTGGACTACAGTCTCTCTTTATTCCTTTGGAAATATTGCTGTCATTTTCTCAAGCCTGCTGCTGTCATTACCTGTGCCTCACAGAACTGTTAAACTATTAAGGAGCAAAACGCACTTTCCAGCTTAATACAATCATGTGAAAATCTC